CTTCAATTGTCTCGCTCAATAGAAAGGTGCACAAAAGAACGACTGCTGTTTTCTAAATCACGTTTGAGATAAAATCTCGTTCACATGACACGAGGTTTGCATTATAAGCATACAAGGTCTCGTACACGCCAGCAAGCATTGCGAGACTACAAAATGGCGGCGCCCTGTCGCCGAATGTAAACAAACCGCGCGATTGCATAAACGCTTATCTATGGCATGGAACACCAAAATCCGATAAATAATTTTAAAAAATGTGTTTCTCCGGAAAAAAACCGGAGGTTTTCAGGATTTTTTAGAAATATCCGGATTTCCGGATATATCCGGAAGACTTTCATCTCTGTAACATACACACATCTTTCTTAAGATCGCATATTAACCAAGGCAGACTTGCAGTACATGACATCACTATTTATCAGTGAACCTGACAGTGACAGCTAATACCAGCATCAGTCACATTTTTCACACCTATACAACTTTCAAGCCTCAACTAACCTAAAACAACTTTAGTTCAAAATATCTCAACAAAATAAAACTAGTCATGGACAGATATAATCAAAAATAGCCATTCCTACTGGGATAATCCAGATCATATTCAGAATTGACAACTACAAAGTATATACATATACAAATAATCCAGCCCATAATTTGTATTAGCAGTCACAAAATACATGCATATACAAATAATCTAGTAATTTCTCCTGTCATAAAACAGCAATCAGCCCATGTTTAAATGCTTTTCATGCTGGTATACTACCACTAAGGATTATGAAAACTCATATTTGTATATGCATGTATTCTGTAGCTGTCAATGCAAAATAAGATCTGAATTATTACAACAGGAATGGTCATTTTTGCTTAATTCTGTCCATGACTACTTTTGAACTGAAGTTGTTCTGGATAAACATAAAAAAATATCTCAGGCAAAAATCTTCAGAAAGACAAAGGATTGAAGACTTTCAAAACATAGTCCTCTACACTGAGCTGCATAAGTAGTTTGTATAGTCACCAATATATTTCTACAAATGTTTCTCCAATAGGCAGTTGCAACCCATTTCAAAGTCAGTTCAACATCTTGTGTCTTTCTTCATAAAATACTAAAGATGGCAGAAGGCTTTTCCAAAACACAAGAAAAAAAGTAGAACATAAAATTACAATTGAGAGTTTCAACGAGGGTTCAGGCAACACTGTTAAATAAGATCACAAACATTTGGAAGCCTGCTTATCCAATACAACTAATTTTCATATTTGAGAAAAAGTGCGTTATTTTGTCATAAAGTTAGAAATAGAAAACATGAGAATTATGATCTTAGTAAGCAATTCAGAAAAAACAAACTAAGTAAATATTGTGTCATATTTTGCAGAATTGACCTTACCTTGTTTCTAACTCATTATAGTAAGCTTCACCATCACGAAATACAAAAAAATAATTCTCTTCATAGCCTCTTGAAGCTTTATTTTTCACATTCCAGTTATATTCTCTAGCCATTCTGTAGTCATACCTACAAAGGAACAATAAAAATTATGAAGTTTTATTTCACATACAAGGTAGCCAAGATGTTTTTAAGAGCAATACCAATTTTATAGTTAAGCTCATGATATACTTACAATTACTTATGTAAAACTCCATGAATGTTTAATAATTAAAGATTATTTCTATTTTTTTTATAAATATAATTTAACCATAACTGGATTTCAAAAAACATTTCCTTTGCATGTATGTTTCATTAAGTATGGATTATCACCCATTTTAAACACCTTTAAAATGTCTGAATATTAACAATGAAAATTTCACAGTACTGGTTGAACAAAAGTAAAGCTTATTGTATTATTGCATTATAGATGTTATGTTCACCTTTATTTTTAAAATGCAATCCATGAAAGAACACTAGTATTTCATGGTCACCTACATATTATAAATACTAGCTTTAAAGCAATTTCACCATTTGATCTGTGATACATTTAGTAGCCTAGGGCTGAAAATGCCAGCTTCAAGCAGCTGTGTTTGTTTCAGCTAGCCCAGTTTATACTTGAATGACATTGTTAATGGAGGAAAAGGATGGTGCTCAATTTTATAGTTTTTGTTATCTTGTGATAACAGTTTACTGGTAGAGGATTGAGTGTTTCCCAATTATAGGAATTTAGGGATGTTTTTTTATTAACAGATATTTCTACTATGATTAAGATCAACCTTCTAACCAACAGGTAACCATGAAACTATAAATACTATAACACTCAATGTACTAAGTGTGTCTTCACAAAGTCTGGCAAACTTTTAGTAAAAATTACAACTTGGTTATACACTAAAAATCCTACTTTTTAATAATGTATTTTTACTAAAGATTTCTCTATGAATTCATAGTCTTTACCGAGTCAGTTTGAGTGAAATGTAATTTCCATGCTAGGAATAAAACACTCCCTTTCATATTACAGGTTTCATACTTCATTTACATAACCTCTAGAATCTCCAAAATGAATATACATTTTTTTTGGTTAAATTTTATACTTTATCTCTATTTTCTCTACCTAACACTAACTGTAACAAAATCATCAATATACAGTGAAATAAAAAGTTGAGAAATATGAAATAAAATCAAAATAATATTTTCTAGAATGACTACAGATTGTAACAAATAATTACAATTATACATTATAACCTTTTAACATCTGCTTCCTTTCAACTTTATTACATTATACTGTATTTAACACCATGAAAAGCAATATATCACAGGAGGAAAGCTTAGTGAAAACAAATGATAAGTTACTATCATGCCATGCTATGTGCACTTACTTTTCTTGAGCTAGGATATTGAGTAATCATGTTGGTTGTCCAAAAAATAATTAATATAGCTTTAAAATGTGCATTTTAGAATATAAAAAATATATCAGTCACAAGAATAGCATGTCCCAAAACTACTATAATTTATAAATAGATAACTATTAAATAGATTTTAAAAGTTCCATTACTGCTTGGAGCAACAACTTTTCTCAACATGTCAAGTTTTTCTTGCAAACTGCAAAGGCTGACCATGAAAACTAAACAAATGAATGTAAGACTGAAGTATAACAAATTTTGTTCTTTCTATTGGTTATAAACATTTTCATTAAATACTTACCATATGGGTTAAAAACCAACCTAAATCTACAAGATGGTACAAATTTATTGGAACATAGGAGATAAAAATTTTACATGCTGGACTTCCACCGTTTATAGTTTATGTTCTAATAGATAGAAAACTGATAGCCATGAAAGTGTTGAAAGAATACATATATGTATGGGAGAGTTCAGAGGGCAAAATGTGTTGCATGGTGCATAGTAGTGAAGATTGTGAACTTATTTAAAACTTATTTACAGCTCAGAACTTAGATAACATAAAATATGAATCATAAATTATATTTTGTTGCCAAATTTACTAATTTACAATAACATGATTTAATTCAATTTTGAATGTAACTCTGTAAAAAGGATGTGACATATGCACTATGACCCACCTGTATACATAGGGTTAATGGTTTCAGGGCTAACTATCATATCCAAAACAGTTACATATAGTGAATGATAGTGGTGCTTGGTATGTTGTAGCTCTCTTTGGTTTTCTTTGTCACCTGTATTGTTTTTCATTTGCATTTTCTGATTAGTTTGATAAATGGTACTTTGTGGGATAAATTGTTGCAGATATTTTCCTTTAAAAATCATACCTTTTGTACTTTCCTGACAAATGGTGTAATATTTAATAATATTTCGTTCTATGCCTTTGTTAGTAGCATTATAATGGACAAATTTTGAAAACTTTCATACAAATTTGGATTCCATTTTCCCTAAAGAGCCTAATATTTAGATTTTTAAAAAGTATTTTCAAAATCTGCTTTACATTTACTATTACAATTACAGTTTTGGTTTTCATATATATTTATTTCATTATTGTTAAACAGTGTTGATTTTTATCTATATATTTTTGATGTAGGTAACATAATTAGAATTTTTTTCATTTATACACACATAATTACAATTACTGGAAACATGAGTGCTGCATCATTGTAACTTCTGTATTGTTAGCCAGGTGCAGCTGAAATATCAATATAATAAGAATAATAAATATATATAAATGTACAATGTTATGAGGTTTAAGCTATTTTGTTTGTTTGAAGTTAAGCACAAAGCTACACAAAGGGCTATCTGTGCTCTGCCCACCATGGGTATTGAAACCCGGTTTTTAGCGTTGTAAGCCCGCAGACATACCGCTGTGCCACTGATGGGGGGGGGGGGGTTAAGCTATTTAGTCTAAACATTTATGTTTTCATGTTATAATTTCTGTTCATTCTAGAATGAAAGAGGCATAATTCATATTTATTTCCTAATTGTTTATGGTGGTTACGAGATCAGTCAAATCTACCAAATCCGTACAGAGATTCATGACTGAAAATAACAGCTAAAATATAAAGTTTTTTCCTTAAGAAACACTTGATAGCTATCTGGACATTATAAAGATTTCGCATGTGAAATTGTGAAATTTGAAAATTTTCTGATGCATAAAAGTATCTTTAATCTTAAAATGGAAATTACTTTGCATGATAGATAGGCAACATGCTAAAAGAAGAAAAAAGGCATGAGAAAAAGATTGCTTTACAAACCTTAGGAATTAATAAAAAATTTTATACTTTGTGTATGAAAGCATTGTAATGTTTACTGATGATCTGCCAAATTTCGTTAACATTTGCTTACTAACTTAAAAGTTATAGCATGAAAACTATAACAAGCACAAAAATGGTTAAGAGGTCAGTCCCAGGGACCTAGCCCATGCTGAAAGAGTTAATGGAATGACCAGGTTGGTTAAAGTGTTGAGCAACAGAGATCTTTTTTGGTGTTAACAGATGATTTATGGTTGTTGAAAAATTCCCTAAAAGTTGTTTGTGTATGTCCTACATATTGGGGATTGCATTTTGTATGCTGTATAAGGTATTTGTAGTTGAGTTATGAAGAGTATAACCAACATATAACAGTTACAAACTTTAAGGCCTAAGAATAGTATTATAAATCGTACTAGACTGCAGATGTTTTTTTTTCATACTATACTTAATTAGTCCATTACAAGTTTCAAATTATAGTCATGTAAGAATAGCAACTTATAACTATTTTTCGTGTGCCTAGAATGCTTTTTGTTTAATACCAGAAATTGTCAGGATTTTGAACAGACTTTTATCTACCAGCATGTATAGTCCATCTGTCCAGGATTGGAAAACCTACTTCGGATGAGTTTTATCTATCTCCCCCAGTGGTCCATTTTAATACCATGTTAGTTTCATTTAATTTTTTAATTCTTTCTAGGCAGCCATTTTTCCACAGATGGCTGAAGAAAGTGATAGGTAGCACAGATGTGAGATAAAGTGGCCTTGAGCACTTACATTTGCTTTTTTTTTTGTAACATGTTATGCATGCACATTAGGGTGAAATCTGATGTATTGTGTATTCCTAAAGCTTTGTAGGTACTAAAACTTAAAAAAATATATATATATAACTGGTAACTTATGGTTGTCCTTCCTGGTTCATTTCTTTAGACATAATTTACTCATAAATACCAACACCACATATTTTAATTCTATCTCAAAGATCTTACTCATCATCATCCACATAATCGACAGCATCTTCTTCATCTCTTTTCCTTTTCCTTGTTGTATCTTCCGTTGGAAGAAAATAAGCTACAAACTGTTCCCCACTCTCGTCCATTACTCCTCTAAAAACAATAAAAAAATAAACAAATGCCATCATCCATTTAGCTAAATAATTAAAACATTAATGTGCATGGTAAAAGAAAAACCTTGGTGAAAAGAACTAAAAAACTTCTCAAACAATAAAGGTAACATATGGTTCAAATCTAAAATTGTATAAATCTTTTAGTAACACAATAAAGAAACCATGATGACTGAATGCTTCACACAAAATATAATTCATTAGTAAAACTAAAAGAGGAATGTTTGCATAGAAACAGACTTTAATTTAAGCCTAAATTAATGTAAGGATATATTTTGCTTATATAAAGATGTAGTCTTAAAGTAAGTTTTTCCCACCACTTGGCACTTTAATTATCAGCAAAAAAATGTCTGAAAAGTGAAAGCTACTACTTTTGCAAATATATATAGATATATAAGAAAATTTAAAAACAAAATACAAATTTACATAAATGAAATAACATTACACTCAATTTTTTTTAGCTTGTAAGGCTTTTTATCTAGCCAATTCAAATGGTCAACCCAAAACAATGAAAGGTTGTTTGTAGTTTTTCCAGTGCACTGTGTTAGAGAATCAAACCCCAAATCCAACTTTATTTTTTATTAATTCTTTATTAAAATAATCACTTACAAAATTTTTATAAGCTTAATTACCTTTAAAACACATTAAAACATGCTTGTTGGAGTGCATCTATGGCAAGAAAAAATTAACAAAATACCAAAAACAGACCACGGTATACCGTAATAATCACACAGTAGTAAACTGATATTAGTACCTTTAGTTACAAGATTTACGTATGGATTACGTTTTTTCACTTTGGTTTCATTATTTATAAAAAGTCATAACATTTGACACTAGTGATGCTGTGTAATAAAAGAAAACTTAAAACTGAATATACATGTTAGATATATTGGTAAGATTTTAACATTATCCTCAAATTGCCAAGTTGTTTTTATATGATTCACTAGTAGTGAAGTGCACAAATTGCCAGATTTTAAGTAATTTTGTTTTTTCCTACTATAACACTCATGGCAAAGAATTGAATAAAAAAATTGGGCGAAATCTTTCATTTTCTTTACAAATTACATATGGAATTATAGCAGTAATTAGTGGAATTAAACTGCAATACTGATTGTATATATTTTTTTATTACATCTTCTGCAGTTTATAAAAATGTAATTCTAAAAGATAATGGAGTCTGTATGACTCCATTAGTATTTGTAGGTTTATTCAATACAACATTATAAGTCACTTACAGCTCAACAAACTTAAAGCAACCACATGTGACAAACATTTTATTCTTATTTGTACTTCAGTGAATCCTTCATAAAGAAGTTCTTTATATGGAAATAGAAGCACTGGGCTGAGAAACTTTAACTGCAAGTTTAAAAAAAAATTTTTTAATTGTGGGAAAGACTTAAAATATTTATTGAATGCAAGCTGCAAAGTTTATATTGTTGAGAAACTTTAAAAACTTAACCAGCTGAGAAGATACTTTATATGACTAAATAAAAAGATCCATTAAATATCTGTAGACAATGATGACAGTAATATTAGGACCAGATGTATATTTCTTATGTTAAAATAGATTCTAAATTTAATAAAAAATATTTACAAATCCTTGTAGAAAGTACTGACAACAACCAAAGTAATTTGCTGTATGGATTATGTTTCATGTAGTAGTTTAATAATTTTTCTTAAATACACACTATAAGTGGTACCTGTTTTTAGTTTGGAGAAGCACAGAGTAATATATTACTAATCACAGCATGCAGTAAAAGTGCCACTTACTTTTTTGTTTGCTAAATAGTCTTAGACATAACATGCAGTAAAATGTCACTTATGTTTTTGTTTGGTAAAAAGTCTTAGACATAACATGCAGTAAAATGTCACTTATGTTTTTGTTTGGTAAAAAGTCTTAGACATAACATGCAGTAAAAGTGCCACTTACTTTTTTGTTTGGTAAATATAGGGTAATAGTCTTAAGACATAACATGCAGTAAAAGTGCCACTTACTTTTTTGTTTGCTAAATAGTCTTAGACATAACATGCAGTAAAATGTCACTTATGTTTTTGTTTGGTAAAAAGTCTTAGACATAACATGCAGTAAAATGTCACTTATGTTTTTGTTTGGTAAAAAGTCTTAGACATAACATGCAGTAAAAGTGCCACTTACTTTTTTGTTTGGTAAATAGTCTTAGACATAACATGCAGTAAAAGTGCCACTTACTTTTGTGTGTGGTTAATAATCTTGATCACTCATATGCAGAACAAATGGCACCTTTCTTTTTCTTAAGTAACATTTTTAAAAAAACAGCTAGTAAAAATTGTATCAGCTTTCCTGTTCATTGTAATCTATTGCAATATTTTATAGCACACAGGCAGTAAAAGTGTCAGAACTGACTAACCTGATCATTGCCTGTGACATTTCTTCTAGTTGGCTGATTGGAACAGGGTCCGAGTCAAATGTCACTTGGGCAAATGGGAATTTCCATAACTAAAACAGAGTATAATAAACCTGATTTAAGAACACATAAGGTGTTTCCTAAAAGCTGAACATATCTCAAAGATATATTATTGAAAATTAATACTTACATTTCACATAATTTGATTTCAATACCTACAGTGTAAACAAAAGTTTATAAACATAGTTCTATTTTTCTACCATAAGCAAAAATCTAGTTTCATAATATTATAACACAGGTAAGATTCTACAGATATAAATACAAAATTTAAAATTCAAGCATAACTTCTTTCCGAAGTTCTTATTTTTGTAATTTTAAGTTTTAAAACATGGATTATAATATGATCTCTTGATTAATTTACAGATTCTATGAATGAGGAAACATGTCAAAAGCACAATAACAATTGAAATTTGTTGAAGTGTGTTTGATTCTGTTAGATAAAAGTCATTTTAAATCATTTTTACAACTTTATTAACAATACATTCATCAAAGAAATTAAAACTTCTATTTGAAAGTCTGATAATAATCTATATAATCTATGTAACTATATAAAATAAACTACAACAAAATAACAATTATATATATAATATCTTACCTGAAAACTAAGCTTATGTTTTTGTATTGTTTTAATGAAACTGATTCAGTACTGATGTCATTTCAAAATTGTTACTTATAATCACCACTTCCAAGATTAAAATTCTGAGGTCTCTCTTAACACGTTATTTGCACCTATACAGTAGTTAGATGATTTATTAAGCTTTAATATGCTGTGCTCATAGATTATGAATTAAAAAAGTAACTTTCATGAAGTTTTAACATCCTATAAAAAATTGTCTTCCTTTATTATCTTTACAAAAGCACATTCTACAATCTATGATGTCAAAACTTCATCAAAGATTAGTAGACTTAAAACATATATCATATACTTACGACTCTATTTACATGTATCTCAGTAAAAATATGTTGTAAAGATCAGAACATTATTGTGAAAGTAACTGATTGAAATTTCAAATTTAATTCAATGGATCAAATTTCTATTTAAGTTAAATTAAGAGTTTACACAGTACAATCATTTTACTTTACAATATTGTTTAAGTAGTCAAATGTTATAATAAAATTGTAATCAAAAATATGGAATATATGGAGTCTAGTTTGTGGATTCAGGTTTTTGTGTTACAATAGTTGAATAAATGAGAAGAGTGAGAGAAATGCATTCACTTTATAAAGTAATATGGTACATGAAAAAGTACTAGTAATGTAAAATGTTAGAAATACTGGAAAAGTAAAATGAAAATCAAGTATTGTTTTGCAACTAAAAACTCAAAAGTGTACTTTAATGTGAAAATAATTTCTTACGATTTAAATTTCTATTTGAAATTGTGACTTTTGGTACTACATAGAAACAAAAAACAGCTACTAATCTGTTCAAAAGTGATGGCTTTAAACAGGAAATTGAAGTATTAAACCTTGAATAAATAGAATGATAACAAGAAAAACCTGTAAAAATAAATAAAAAGCAATTAGCATGCATAACAATCCTTAGACAAGACTAGGGTAGCTACACTCTGTTCAGAATCAAACCACACACTCTAGGCTACTGTTGTCTGACTAAACAGCGGGATTTGACAACCACCCTCATAGTACACCAACAGCCCCAAATCACAAAGGATGTTTTTGTTGCAACAGGATGCAAAACATGAGTTCAAAGTATGTCATATTATCCAAAGGGCCACACACCCAGGCAAAATTAACACCCCCAGTGTAACCCTTTATACTCCAGTGGCCAGTATAATGCCACCTTTAAACTTGCATTATAAAAGTCAGTAACTCTTCGAAGTCACAGTAACTGAAACACGCACACTTCAAACACACCTTGATCACTACAAGATCTTTTAAAATACAATTTTGATTCTTTTGGTCAACTGATGATAAAAATCACTACATAGTATAGCTATTTAGTAAGTAGCTATGCATGGCCTACATAACTGTTGACCTGAAAGCCAATTTTCATACATATACTATGTGTTTGTAGTTAAGCACAATGCTTATAACAGGCTATCTGTGCTGTGCCCACCATGAGTACTGAAACCCAGTATTTAGCATTTTAAGTCTGCAGATATACTTCTGAGCCACTGGGAGGCATTGTTGAAAAAAACATTACAGTAAAAAAACTGGCCAAATATTAAAACCAACATAAATATAGTATTTATAAATATAACTATTTTAAAATGTAAAAGTCATCTGTGTCCTTCTTTTACCAATTTATGTATGTGTTTAAAATAGCCTTCACAATATTTACCTTTTCTCAAACGCAAAATATGATACTTGTATTCACAATGGCCTTGAATTATAAAACTGAGTTCTTCTAAACAAAAGTAACTTCCAAGACAATTACTTTAACCAAATAAACAAATAATGAGGGAAACTCTGTTAACTCTTTCAGCACGGGGGTCAGTCCCTGAAACCAACCTCGTAACCATTTTGTGCTTGTTATAGCTTTCATGATATAATTTAAATTAGTAAGCGAACGTTAATGAAACTTGGTACATTATCAGTAAACATTACAATGCTCTCATATGCAAAATAGTACATTTTTTTTTTATCAAGTCTTTAGGTTTGTAAAGCAATGTTTTTCTCATGCCTTTTTTTTTTATTTTCGCATGTTGCCTATCTAACATTCAAAGTAATTTTCATTTTAAGATTAAAAATACTTTTATGTATCAGAAAATTTAAAAATTTCACATGCAAAATATTTTATATGTTATTTTCAGTAATGAATCTCTGTATGGGCTCTGTAGGTTTGACTGATCTCGTAACTATCATAAAAAAAATAAGAAATAAATATAAGTTATACCTCTTTCATTCTAGAATGAACACAGATTATAACACAAAAACATAAATGTTTAGACTAAATAGCTTAAATTTCATGACATTATACATTTATATATATATATACTTTTATTATATTGACCTTTCAGCCATGCCTGGCTAACAATACAGAAGTTACAATGATGTGGCTCACGTGCACTCATGTTAGCATATCCAATAATATAAAATTAACCTTCGGTGTGTACAAAGTAATTTGTCTTGGCCGTGTTTTAATACACTAGTATTTTGTAAAATACACTCACATTTCAATTATTATACATTATATATGTATACAGATTATTGCTATTTTGAAATAAGTTCTTAAAACTTATTTTTCTTAAAACATAGAACAGTAAATAAAGAAGCAAACAACTATCTCTTCTAGTTATGACCTTTGTACTCGGTTGCTGCTTGTCGTAGGTTGCTAAGCCTTTAAAAATTTTGCATGTAGGGGATATGAAACAAAATATTTTTTTAGGTTTTATATATACATTTGAATAACTAAAAAATCATAAATTACTATATCAATACCATACAATTCCACTATAATTTATCAAGCTTCGTAACTAAGATGTATTTTAGTTTGAAAAATATTAAATTTTGAGCAGACTAAAGACACAACCTACCTCCTTGTAATATTGGTTCAAAAGAAACAAATGGTGCCAAAGTCCATTAAAATGGCAGAGAAAGCCACTAGGGGGACATTCTGAGCTTCAGATTGGTTATTCATGTCATATATAGAAGTAAGTGTATATAAGGGAGCATTACCAAATATGGAGAGAGGTGGGTGGGGTGCCACTGTGTGTGATTTATTACATGAGCAATATCTTAGCAAATAGAAAAGATAAGAAGCTATTATTATATATTCTAGCTTGTCAATATTGGTAATTTGAGTTTCTAAATCCATACAAAACTATAGACTTGGTATTTTGTCTTCACAAACATTTAATTTGAACCAGTGCTGCATTCAACAAACCACATGACACACAAAATCAATGTTTATCTGTGTTTGTTTATATCAACTTTTAAATTAAAAAATTGAG